CAAAACCGCCCCCCCCCCCCCACCAAAAAAAAAACCAGAAAAAAACCCCAGCAACAAACCCAAAAATGAAAAAATAAAAATTGAAAGTGGAGAACGTATTTCATTCTCAGGTCCTTAACAGCTGAAATAGATGTGACAAATTAAAGAAAATGCCAACACTTATGAGCTGCTCAAACTTTCAATAAATGCCCTTTGAAATGTGTAAAGCAGAGGAAACTGTACCTCTCAGAAAGTTCGACAATCATTACGACTATAGTTTTTTTGGCTAGATCTCAATTGTCAACTGTCAAGTGAAAAAGGAATGTAATCAGTAAGGTCAATCCTACCTCCAGTTAGCACGTTCGGGTCCATTGACGATTGGTCACATGGAACTGTTACTGGCAATCTCTGAAGTGGAAGCTGATTATTTAAGGCAATAGGATAACTGACAGGGCCCACGTGCAGATCGTTGTGAGAAGTATTCGACTTTTCAATTTGCTTAAAGTTCAACAGTGATTTTTCATCATATTCCACAATCTGGTTCCAATTATCACATGCTTTCTTCACCAATGTATCCACATATACCTACAGGTAAAAAAAAAAAAAAAACACTTAAAAGATTTCACCAACAAAAATCAAAATTTATAAAAAAAAAAAAAAAAAAAGTTTTGTTTTTTTTTGGAAAAAAAAAAAAAAAAAAAAAAAAAATCCACAAAGCAATTCCTTCACTTGTAAGTTAATGGTTTGTCTGAAGAATGTCTTATTGTACTTTCTCAAATAATTTTTGAAAATAGAAAAACACTAAAAAAGTTTCATGCAAAGTATACATATTAATTTTTGAAAAGTTGATTTTTCCTTTTTTTTTAAAGTAAAGTATACACATTACATTAATCCCAAATTCCTGGATCAAAATCTTTAAGATGCAAAAACTTATGGGAAAATGCACGACACACGATTAGAATTACGAATAATTTCGCCACACGTAATTATCCAGGCCTCGTGCCCGGCCAAAAGAGCTTGGACCTGCGACAGAAATCTGCGAGGTGTAAAATCGACTTAGGCTCTTCAGAGCCAATAGTACGTAAGTCAATGGCCTAGCATGAGGCCTGCATAGTTACCAAAAATTAGCGCTTTTTGTAACGATCCGACCTGTATATCTAAGGCATTAACTTACATACTGTCTGCTCTGGGAGAACCTGGGCTATTTTACCCCTCACGGATTTCTATCGCGTTCCAATTGGTACCAAGATTCAACTTAAGTCATTCTTAAGGAAAATGTCAAAAGTTTGAATCCTGGGGATTCAAAAAAAAATTCGTGAGAGGTAAGATAGGCTCAAACTCTTCCGGAGCAAATAGTATATAAGTTAACTGCCGAGCAAAAAGACCTGGATCGTCACTACATGTCCAAAGAAGTCATTCAATGTTTACGAGGATGGAAATAATATATACAATAGGGAAATTGGATTTTCAGACCAACAGACATCTTACATAAATGCCTCGTTATGCAAGAGAAAAAAATTGGAAACAGTTAGTCTTCAAGGACAGAAGAAATTCTATCCAAAATCAAGAAACTCCTAAATTTTCAAATCGTTAAAAACCAGAATAGATTTTTAATTTGTAAACAAATTTCTGAAAACTTATATTGAAAGCAATGCCCAAGGGTTTGCCTGCCATTATTTTTACATGGATCCAGATTACAAAGCCAAAGTCATGTTAGACAACATTCTACCTGTGTTTAATACTCAACACAGATCATTGACTTAAGAAGGAAATCCTACTAGTTTTATTGCTTATTGCACAGATAGGTTTCATCTGACACTACTAATCACTTTACTGCATGATACAAAAGGGGGAAAAAAACGCTTAAAATATGAACATGACATGCTCAGATTCAAATCTAAATCTGCTGTGAGATGACAAATTCCGACAACTACATCCATCCAACAAACTATCTATGTTCGTGAACATGTAACCAGCTACTAATCGAAGCAAGGGGAAGAATGAGATTTGTGTATAAAAATAGCTGGAGGCAACAAGCCATAAATCGTAATTTTAAGGGAAATGGGCCAACCTTTTGGCTGTCAGAAAGTGAATCTGCGGGATAATATTGTTCGTTTGCTGTAAGGCCACTCAACTCGTATATATCATTAAAAACAACACCCACATTTCTTGAATCATCAGAATAATATATATAAAGCTTCCCACACAAGACACAAGTCTTTGCATGCTCTACGAGGGCCTCCCACATCTTATTTGACATACCACTGCCAAGGATCTGCCAAAATCAAGGATGAAAAATCACAATATGAAAAGCATGGAGCTGCTAATTCAACAGCTAAAGCCATACACTTACAGTTCGTAACTTTTGAGAGTCTTTGACCACAAGCTGCAGGAAGTCCTTGACCGTAAATATTCCTGCACTATTAAGCCTCTTGTGGAATGAACCATCTTTCCTGATCATCTCTAATCTCCATACTTCATCATTTAAAGCAGGGGGATAATGCTTCTTGTACACTGGAAGGGAGAGAAGACAATTCAATAAATATTTCAAGGCAATGAGAAATTAAACAAAATTAATAGTAAAGGTTCTTACATTCTCCTCTGCGATCTTTAACAGTAAAAGCCTCTGTCTTCGCTTCCCGTATGCGTATCCCCTCACAATATCCTGATGCAACCTTTAGCCCAAGTCTGAACTTCCTGCTCCTTAACCAACTTGAATTGTCTGTAAATGTGAGATCTCCTAGCGTTCCAACACCTTCCTTGAGCATCACTTGCAAATCCCCAGTTAAAAGAGGTCTTTTTCCCTCGCGCTCTTTCACGACGTGGCTTTCAAATTCTTCTTGAGTCCAACCTTCATCACCTTCATTGTTAAAATCACCTTCTAGTACTATAATATCAAGCTTAACACAAGATTCAGGGCCAGATGTTATAACATGGCCTGTGCCTGCATCAATCAGTACGATGTTAATAGCAGCACCCTGCTCCGCCTCTACTTTCCCCCAAGTGAAGAGGGGGAGAGAGAGCCTGGATTTGAAATGAAGCTGCAAGTTTCTCCCATCTGGCCCTTCAATTCGTTTAGGTGATGACCTGAAATATTCAATATTTATAAAATAATCATAAAAATGTGGAAGCTTAAACTATTTACGTTTGGCACAGCTTATTTGAAATTTTCCTCAAACTCAATTTCAACCACACATCCTCCCAATAAAATAATTTTGCACGTGTACCCACAACATCCCCTACTAAAGCAAACATTCTCCGAAAAGTCATTTTTCCCTTCAAATAATCTCTCCAAAACCAGCATTTAGTGGACTAAACACTTCAAGTCATAATAAATGAGAAACAAAACAATCCACTGAAAGAGGATTGATAATTATAGTTACCGTAAATTAAGTTCTGAAAAAAAAAAAATGACTTCCATCATAGGATAATAAGGCGTTAATAGCTCTTATTATATGTGAAAAATATAAAGACAGAGTCCAAGCCCCAATTGTATCAGCCAAACGTCAATTATTCAAATTACATATGTAGGGGCATATTCATTGATGTAATTAAAGGAGGCCTTGAAATATAGAAGTACTACTGCAATTGCTTTTCATTAATTACATATGTAGGAGCATATTCTCATGTTCCTCCTTTTCTCTGATTTTCCAAAACCTAAAGGTCATAACAGATGACACATACAAGGACAAAGAATTCAATTAAACGACTCAAACAGACTTTATACCTACACCATTAAAAGACCTCAAACTTAACAAAAACAGCATCAATAAAAAGAGACAATTGCTTCAACTCAACTAACTATTCTTTCTCAAATAACAAAATACTAGATATAAAGACGTACTTGAAGTTTTAAATTGTTTATCATTAATAAATTACATTAGTTTCCTAAATTAATCTTGCAATCATAATGCTTTACATTTTTTATTAATTCTTTTATCAAGGAAATAAAATTATTACTCTGTACTAAGTAATAAGAAGTTGTTTGCCCCAGCAGCTTCTCAGTTCATGGGAACAAACTTATCCTTCCCATTTAGAAGTAATTTTTAAAATCAGTCAACCGGCTCAAGCTAGTTTTCAATGAAATAGCCAGTCTATCCCGATCTTGACCTGTTTAATTGCAATCCAGTCACTTATGGAGGACCATATGGGTAAACAGCTTGCGTCGCCAGGGTTTTTGGATGGACTGACCAGTCCAGTCTGATCCGGATATAATAATTATGATATGTGTCAACAATATCATAAATGACTATACAAACACAAACTTCTTAAGAATGAAAAGTATCTAAAACCTTCCATCAAGTCGTGCAGGACCCAACTTTGCCATAGCACGTTCTACCCCTTCACTGACCTGTTGAATGCAGATTAATTATGAGACAGTGACTTCTTGATTATTCATGGAAGCTAATATATAGATCAAAGTGAGGGGAGCACTTATGCAACAAATATTGTCCACAATGAAGACATTAGCTAAAGTGGTTGAATGTAGTCTAAATGCAGATAACATTAAGGTGAGTTTTTATGCAACCAATTTTACTTTTCAACAGAATTGTTTATCTCACAGTGTACAAGCTTGGAGTCCCTAATATTTAGCGAATAACATGGGAACAATTAGCTATTAATTGATATCTAATTATATGAAGATTTCAAATAAAGTGGTCCCACATAATCTTGAATATAAAGTTTGCATTACCTTGTTCCTTCAAGAAGGGACAAGTTCAAGGATAAAGGTTCAGATGGTAGCCTAAAAAAGGTATCCACAAAGGACTCCAGACTCTTTGGTTCCCTCACATAAACACTTGGTGACATTCAGCTGTCAAAACTACTTTCCACAATCTTATTGCAAATACATTAGAAATAAATAATTTTAATATTATGTAAAAATGTTAAAAATAGGAAACTTCGTACTTATTTCTGCTCAATTTCACGAGAATAAAACTACTAATTTTAACAAGACTTCCATGCATTTTCAAAATTATTACACCATCGAGATGACTTTGCAAAAATCCCATATTTATGCAAGAGAAACTATTGATTGTAGGGGATAGAAGAGGGATAAGAATAAACACAACCAGAGGTCTGAGACTAATGGAAATATGAGGATATAATTTAAAGTGAAATCTTCCCAGAAAATGTCCCATACTCAAAACTTCAAAAAGAAAAACAAAAAGTCTCATGAAATAACAGCAATACACAAGTCACAGCAGAATCGTTCAAATGAATCGTACGAAAGTCATTCACTTACCACGCTCTGAAGAATCGGTTTTAATGAAGAGCAGAGCATCTGGAGTATATCCACCTTCAGAGTTTCCACAATATCACTGCAAACAACATACTACTTTTTAATGAACACAAATTTTTACTTTCCTTAGCCCTGCTACAAGTAATAAAAAGAAAGAATAAATTTAACGAGAAAATTAAATGGAGAAATAGCGAGGAAAAGATTTGGCATAAATTTTCATTACACGGTCTTCTAATTCAAAAGAAGCTACAATCCTAAGATGTTTACACTTATTTACTTTGTCAAGCTAAGAAATTTACAATTAAATTTCATGTTTACAGAATCAGTATTTCAGGGAACAAGCAACACTTGTATACCGTTCCAACGTCAGTTTAGAAATAATGATACATCCCCACCAACAAAATCCAAATATGTGATTGACTTTTTGTTTTTGGTCATTTCTAAGTAAATTGGGGTCTAACAAACTTTCAGAGGTCGACATATACACATAATACAACTATTGTAAAAGCTAGAATTCGCTTGGGGAGAAAAAAATAGAAAGAAAAGAGAAATATGCATCTGAAAAACATTAATGTAAGAAAACAATAGGTGTTGCCGTTGCTCGAAGTGTGGATTTATTATCCACTTAAAAGATTTCACCAACAAAAATCAAAATTTATAAAAAAAAAAAAAAAAAATAAAAAAATTGTTGGGGGAAAAAAAAAAAAAAAAAAAAAAAAAGATTCATCCAAATGCAGACATTTACATTTGTCAAAAAGAAAATCCATAAAAAAAAACAACTCTCCCACGTCAGTTCGACCGATTGAAATTTTCGAGTCTAAATTTCTATTTGAGAAATCATTTCCCGATTAGCCATGCAAATTTGGCACAGTCATTTCTGCAAGGATTTATGTACACATTGAATTTCACTAAGAATCTCAAAAAACCTCACAGAAAAATAGGTTCCCGTCCAGCCTTATTGATTTCAATTAGAAAACTAACAAAAAGGCCATTTATTTACCTTTACTGTCAAGAAAGTAACATTGTAACATCAGTTTTCACAAATTTTGAACTCCAAAATTAAGCACCAGATGCAAGAATTTAACAAAATCATAGACCCAATGGTTACCGAAATATTTTCAAATCAAACATTTTCATTGAGACAAACACAAGCTTAGAAAATAAAACAAAACCCCAGTGCAAGAGCATAGCAATTTGTTACCGAGCTAAAGCAGGACTTTTCTTATCAGGCTGCTCCTCTTCGTTATCACCACTCTCCAAGGTCCTTTTACCTCTCCCACTCACTGAATTTGTCCTCTCCATACACCTTGTCCGCATTAAATTGACCGAAAAAGAAACAAGAAATCATCAGCAAAACTCAAAACAAAACAATAAATCAACAAACAGCCACAATAGATCTCAGTTGACCCAAAATCCACAAACCCTTCAGTAATTTTGCATCAAACACCCAGATCCACTAAATACATCAATTAACAACAAAATCCAAGTCCCACATTAAAAAATAAACACAAACTTACCTGCTAGGTAGTTAAAGGTAAATGAAAAATGGAAAAGCGGGATGATATGATATTAGGGGAAATGCGTCGGTAAGGCCACCCTCAATTGGTTATGTTTCAAAACGCGTTTCTCCAGATTTCTCGAAAGCACAATTGTTTTTCTTTTTCTTTTTTTAAGAATGAATTTTTCAAGTATTGATGGGAAATATGTAATTAAAAAAATAAGAAAAAGTTTTAAATTTATGCATAATATTATTTTATTAAAAAATGTGTGGTTAAAATAATGTCAAAATATGGTTGAAAAATATATTTTTCCAAAAGAATGGACTTCAAACAAGGGCCAAATATAAGCACATGTTTGAGCCATATTCTAAAAAATGCATTATTTATATCAAATTAATAGGAAATATGTGGTTAAAAAATTAAAAAAATTTAGATTTGCATGTAATTTTATTTTTCTGAAGAATGTGTGGTTGAAATAATGTTAAATCACTAATAAAAAATACATATTTTTTTAAAATAATGTGGCTCAAACAAGTCCTAAATATTTAAATATTTGAAAAGACAATTATAACCTTCCAATTGGTCCCCAAATTAAGCCCCCATTTTTTGAAAATGAAAATTGGTGGAATAGTATTTTTATGAAAAATTAGCCCTGTTCTCTTTGCTGTTTTTAAGTCGTTTTCTGTTTTCAATTTTTGAAAACAGTGAAAACGCGTTCTCTTTTTCGTTTCGAAAACAAATTTTCAAAAATGAATAAAAAAAATTGTAAAGAAAACTCAAAACATCAAAATTGACGTTTTGGATGTTTTCTGTACAAAATCCAAAATAGGTTGAAAACACGTAAAACATGAAAGAGAAAACCCATTAAACCGTATCCCCTCTCTTCCTTCAAACCTCTCTTTCTCCTCTTCTTCTGGACGTCAACTTCGCGCTGGGAGGCGACGACAGTGAGTGCCGATGTCAGTGTCTGCATAGGGAGGCGATGCTACTGTTAACAATACCGTCGCCACAGATTCGTCTGCCCGTCTCCATCTCCTCTCTCTTCAATGCCGGCTGCAGTTTGGGGGAGGCGAAATTCGCATGTTGGTTTTGGTTGATTTGGTGGTGATATGTTTGATTGTGGTGGTGGTGTTGTTGATTTGGGTGTTGATTTTAGTTTCTGCGTTTCTCCTCTTTCTTCTTCGTTTTCTGTGTTCTTCCCTCTCTGCTCTTTTTGTTGATTTTGGTAGATTTTGACAGTGATTGATGATGATGGCGGTGGTTGATGGTTCATGGTGGTGTTGATTTGATTGATTTTGGTGGTGGCAGTGATTGATTTTGGTTGATGGTTCGTGGTGGTTGTGGTGATGTTGGTGGTTCATGGTGGTGTTGATTTTGGTTAATGGTGGTGGTTCATGGTGGTGGTGTTGATTTGACAGTGTTTAATGGCGTTGAAGGTGGTGGTGACGGTCGACGGTGGTGGTGACGATTGACGATGGTGATTTTCGGCGATGACAATGGTGGTTGTGTTGATTTTGGTTGGATGTGGTGACTGGTGGTGACGTTCTCAAAATTTCAAAGTAAACACGTTTTTCATTTTTGTGTTTTGAGAAACAATTTTGTAGAATGACTAAAAGAATGTATTTTCAACAATTGCAAAACAGGCATTCAAAGCACAACATCCAAAATGAATTCAAAACTCAAAAATACAAAATCAAAATACAAAGAGAACTGGGCCTAAGTGGTTGAAAAAGAAGGAAAATTTTTCGATTTTTGTGTAATATTATTATATGAAAGATTGTATGGTTGAAAATAGGGGAGAGAGAGAGAGAGAGGAATCAAATGTAATAAAATGGAATTTAATGGTGGTCAAATGGAGGCTAAAGAAAGAAGGACCCAATTCCTTCCCGAAATAGAGGTCCCAACAATCAAAACTCTCCGTCTTCCTCCGCGCCCATCAATCGTCAATCTCTCTGCATCTCCATTTTCTAAGCTTTGAGACTTGCTGGACCTCCTTTAGGTAACGTCTCTCGCGTGGTTGAATCTGTATTGTGTTTATTTCCCACTCCCTTTCGTTTACGTTTTGTGGAAGAAGTTTGAAAATGAGTTTTTATATATCCTTATATTTTTGAATGTGTGAACTTTATGTTCCTAGATTTCAATTCAAAAGTTGATTGGAGTAATTTTTTTTCAAAAGTTAATTCTATTATGGACGATTTCTTAGTTCAAATTTGGGCAATGGAGATGTATAATCCTAAATTTTATGTTACTGATGCAAAAGCTACAGAATGATTGTGAAAAAATAGGTATTGTAGTTTAATTGTTGAAGGTGCTTATTGGCAAAAAGTAAGGGATTTTTGTTTCGAACTCACGGGGTATATATAAACAATAATGGTGAAGTTGTGACCAATACAAAGCATAGACAATTTAATTTGACACGATTCAACATGGAGAATACAGAAGAATTTCCTATTATTACTAAAAGAAAGAGATAGAGCTCAAGCATATTTGCACCATAATATCCCCGTCTCAGATTTGTTGCAGCAATTTAGAAAGCCACATAATATATTTATCCATAACTTGATTGATTGAAGATGTTTTTTGAAGTTGTAGATGATGACCTCTATTTATTATCAAAATGATTGAAATTACATTATTCGTTTTGATTGCTATAATATGGGCAACTTGGATTGATCTGATTGTTAATTTCCTTAACTTGTCATATTGCACATGATGTGCTTAGCTATGAGGAACATTGATGCTAACATGCATTAGTCTCAAGTCAGGCTTTAGATAGCTTCTTTTGTTTTCCAGAGACAATTTGTTAATCGAACTTCGAGTTAGATTTATTGCTTATGACCTTTGTTTCTAGTTTTTTATGAGTCTTTGCAATTTGTTTGAAATATATTTTTTTTCTTATCGGAAATTTTGTATGCTTAACTTGGTTTATATCGCTTATTCTTCTTGTTCATATGTACTTTACTGTCATCAGTTGTTCTGATGTATGTACATGTTTTATAATTTGCAGTGCTATGGAGAATATTCAAATTAACGCTATGATTACAATAAGATGTAGACTCCAAGTAGTACAAGATGTCAATGACCAGCCGGATACAAATTACAAAAGCAAGCTTTGGGAGAACTGCTTTGGATCTCTGCTTAGACTGAGGGATATAGGCTTGGTTTTACGGATCATCCATCAATTGTTATTGCAAAAAATGAAGACCAATAAAAAGGAAGAAGTGTGGTTCAAAATAGGAGATAAACGAGTGAGATTTGGATTTGAAGAATTTGTTTTAGTAACTGGCTTAAACACGGGTGATGAGAGTAATTTAGTTAAGACTTTGGGGGCAGAGTGTCGAATTGTGAAAAATGTTTTAAGAAAAATGGGGGGAAGATTACGAGGGGAGATGACTACCATGCATTTTGTATATTGCAAGAAAAAAAAGAGCGACAAGTATAAGTTGGGATTGATCGTAATATTGGTGTACGTCCTGTGGGCCACGGAGGGAAGCACCTAAATCGATTTATGGTGGCTGGACTTTGTGGATGATTTGGGTAGGTTCGAGAAGTATCCGTGGAGGGAGATTTCATTTGAATACACGATGAATGTATTCAAATTTGAAATATGAGGTAAATTGAAAAATTATGATGTCTGAGGAGAGTCACGTTGTCGGTATTCGTTGCTCTGCTTTCCTCTTGCTATAATAGTATGAACAAACAATACACTTGACTTGTAATATTTTTTATATATAAATTTGTGTCATGAGAGAGTAATGTTTGTTTTATATTAGATTTGGGCATTCGAACAATTCCAACATTAGGAATGAAGTTTACTACAAAATTTCCAGATGTAGTTCCAAGAACGAATGCTTGGAAAATGCTAAAGAGATTAGCGTCTGTCGCCGTTGATATTGTGTTGAAATTGAAAGAGGTAAATTTACCTTTTTTAAAAGTTTAATGAGGACAAATTGTGGAATTAGTTTAGTGGATGACTAATGATTTGTAGATTTTAATATTTGCATTTGGAGGTTAATTCTACATTGATTCCCACTGAAGTCGAACTCGAGGAGGTCTATTGGAAAGAGTTAACACTAATCGTGGAAGAAGATAAGAGTGGTTCACACCATTCCGAAGGAGACGAGGCTAAGCATGATGTTGAGCCACATAATGCATACCACCAAGAGTTTCATAGAGCAGCTCAACCTTCACAGGTCTGTTTTGAGATCAACATAGCAAATTTATTGAGAACGGAAATGGAAAAACTTGAGGAAAGGCTTCAAGCAGTCATATCGACTCGACTTGATCGGATGAAGAAAAAGGTTGACAAGTTGGTTGAATTGTCTGTGGCGGGTCGGTTCCATTCAGCGAATAGTGCATTTAATCGCGCCACTAGTAGCACAAAGTAAATACTAGAATATGAACCGAATGATGTGTTGGAAAATGAGGCTGGATTTGATGATGTAACAGATATGCCTGCTGCTGAAAGAAAGGTAGAAGCACCTGAGGAGGACCCAAACTTAGAAGCAGAGGTTAGAGGAAAAAAATATAGAAGGAAAGGAAACTGAGGTTGGATATGAGAATGACATAGAAGAGCAAGAAAAGAAAAAAAAATGGTCGAAGAGGGTGTTGGAAAAGAAACAATATTAAAGGATGAGTATCTCGACGAAGAGAAAGGTGTTGCTAATTTTGTGACGATTGAGAAGCATGATGTGGATGCGAATGAATCCATGCAAAGTATGTAAAAATTAATTTGAAGTTCAGTTTCACGTCTTTATATCCAAATGAAACAAATTTTAGATTTCTAATTGTTGGTACTTGCAACATATAGGAGACAGTATATAAATCGATGAGGCGGGATGTGATACATCGAAAGGACGAAGGTATCGTCCGAAGAAAAAAACACAATTATTGTGTGCTTCCTATACGAACCCGACAAAGAGGAGAAAGTTGTTGGATATCGATGTATACGATTCTTATCAAGAAGTGGATCCCATGAAGGTTGAGGCTTTTTTCAAATAGACAGAACTACA